AATAATCATAGAGGGGTTGAAGCCTCCCAGTTTCGATATAACATTCGGAAAGTATCAATTTCTCGGAATGAGCATGTGGTAAGAAGAGGTTTGTAACTCTCAAGCCTCAATACCGGTTCATCTTCGTTATCATACGAGTATCACGATTTGTATGATGTGATGTTATAATGTTATAATGAATTGTGGGGATTGAAGCCGGATCCAGACCCTTATTTTGGTTTACTGAACTGAGCGTAGGCGGGGGACTCCGTCAAAGTAGCTGGACGTACGGAGTACAGTATGTATGATGTATGTATGGTGGTATGTATGGATGGATGTATTTATGGATGTATGTAAGAATATTTGAGGAGCAAGCAATAATAGAGAAACAACTGAGCACTGCTGGAACTAATGTACTGGGCATTAGATGGGAATAAAGGGAGGACTTTATGGAATAGATGAGAAGAATAGAAAGAATGGAAAGAATAAGGCTAGTGTTGAGCATAGAGTAGTACCATAATAGTAATGGACAAATGCATCCAGATTCATACAACATCAATATGATTTGACAGAAATCCTGCACTCATGCATCAATATTAAGCTCCCAAGCCCTCAAGCAAGCACAAGAACAAGAACGATCAATCATCAAATTGGGAAATCAACCTATAACTGAATTTCTTGGATATTTCGAAATTTCGAAATTAGACGTACCCATACAACTCCATCCAACTGTTGTTAACATTACCTACCTACCTAGGTACTTACCGACCCCAATACCGTAAAATATTTCCAATTCCGTGAAGATCCTCTCCTTAACTGTCATCGAGATCCCTCTATGGACCCGTTTCTATCACTCTGTGAGTCTGTCACAGACAGGTATGGATGTATGTGTATGGTTGGTATAGCAGAAGAGCAAGTAGATTGGTTGATAGGAAGTTTGTATGGGGGCTGGCACATGCTCTCGGCTTCTCTCTGATGAAAGACATCAAGGAAAACCAAGTCATTCACGTACAGTACCAGTACCAGTACAGTACTAGTACTACTCGGTTAGGAAACATTATCGACCTCGAATTTCTCGAAATGTATTAGGACACAGATTTTAAAAGGCATAACTGACGAGAATTTCATAGAGTGGGCTGATTTTCTAAAAGTTTCATGCACGTTCCCCCTAAAAAATCCTACCAAGCCTTACAAGCCACCCATGCATGTGTAGCAACCGTAGGTCCGTAGCATCCATCCATCGCCTTCATCGCATCCATCTCATCCATAAAAAGCGTTTTGAGGGCGATGAGGGCTAATCTAATCCAATCGCTTCAACCCTCCCAAGGTAAATTAGCTTGGTTATGTAACCGCAAATCCCCTTATTCATATGACGGAGCGAGCCGAATCAACCTTAGTTTGTCTCTTCCGGGTTCTTATTAAGGATCATTCTGTCTTCTTCCTTTCCAAGGTTCTTACAGACGTTATTTGACTGCCGCTTCCATATTATTAAACCTGTACATTGGACAAGACTTCCCCCAATCATCTTCATTCCATATAGAGTGCCATACCCATTCCGGTAAGATCCATTAAGAAGGGTGACATGCATCAAAGCAGCGTCAATTTCAAACAGCGGGAAGCGTGAAGATCTCCAAAAGTACAAGGGTACGTGAGGACAACCTTGGAACTTACAAATTGTATAAAATCTCCGACAGGTATCGACCGATGGCAACGTCATCCCTTACTGAATATGTATATCTTACCTTGCTCCTCCAAGATTTCTGGAACAGAATGGCAGTTTTCATCGACGATGAAAATCAACTATCAAATCAAATACCGATGAAGCATTTATTTGACACTTGGTCAGTGTTAGGGGTCCAATGGAAATCATTCCGTGACGAGCTACTCGTGCAGAATCGTGGCAGATTTCCCGGGGTTCGATAGGTTTCATCTGAAATAGTCTGGTAAGTATGTGCGTTTCGGAATTCGCATTCCAGCTTTCCGATATTGATTCTGATATTTCTAGAGATTCCGTTCGGTTCAAGTTTCCTTCCATCAAAACCCATGATTGGGATACATATGCTCTCTGCGAATGGAGATGCTGTGACCGCGCAAGTGTGTTTGCTGCTTTTCACTCTTCAAGTTCCAAGATTTTTTGTTGATCATGATGAATTGAATTTGCATTCAATTGATAATTTGCCTAACATGAACGGTTCATCAAGTTGATGAGGTCACTACATACAATTTCCTGTGCCGCCAACGCCGTGTTCTTATCATCTCGCTGTGCGAGGACCCCGAGAGCGTTTGTTTGCTACCCCGCATTTTGTCAAACCCCTCGTCGCAATATATCCAACCCCTTACCCAGCTGAGAGATTCCCAAACCAAAGGTCCTCTTCTCACGGGCGATTACATTATCTGAGCCTGCGTTTTCACGACGGGTACTTGCGCGGCCCTGGTTGAACAAAGGCGCCTCTCCGTGCTACATGCTTCTCCGAATAGCTAATCATGGGACTATGGAAATCTACAAGTCGATAGTGTAAGCCTCATATAGTTTCAGCCTTTTGATGCATTGTTACACGGAAATTTGGTGCTACAATGGTACAAGGAGCTCAAAGATGGCCTTTTGATCTCAAACCCATAAACAAAGTTTATATTTTGCTGTTGATCTCTATTTAAATTCGCATATTTCTACTTCGTCGTGAAACACCATTGGAATGATACAAACAATCAGTAGTCATGCCGCGAAGAACCGGCATTGAAGGTACGTTGCACAGCGTGTTCATTGAGATGATAGAGCATTGCACAACGGTTCTTCAGATCAAGATTTCGTGAGAATCTTGGTGGCATCTTTGGGGGTTTTCATTAACCCTCCATTGAACGAGGACAGGTTCTTCAGATCTATTGGGTATACTTCGAATTGCTCACACAAATAACTAATGGGACACTGCCCCCACTCCATGCCGGGAACCAACAGTAATCCCATACTGCTATCGATGCAACAAATATTTATGCATAAGAATCATGATGGTTCTGAATTAGGCTCTTGTTCGTGACTTTAATGATACGGAGTCAATTGCCCCGTCGACGGTATTCGGAGATCCGCAAGGCTTTCGGAATGTTGACATTCGGAATTATTAGATCGACCCAATTCTCAATGAATTTTTATCAAGTCTCTAGCGGGGTTGGCCATGCTCATTAACAAGATACATTTGGGGGAAAACAGAAAGAGCCTTCAAAGATGAAAGGGTGAGATATTTTCAAAGTTCCATTTTCTATATCGTGCTTCAATATACAATAGAATGTTGTTTGTTCGGAAGACATCAGACGAGAAGGTAGGCTGGCATTCCATCAAATATTTCTTGGTTACGCTTTATATGAGAGCCTCCAAAAATCCAGCTACAGTCCCATCGGCCTTCCTATCGTACCTCATACACTCGTTGAAATAAATCATGTTGTATGTCTATAGTAGTATTTTCAATATATTGGATGAGTACTCGAGAATATTGGTCTTGGAGTTAAAGATTGATTACAGCTCTGAAGTTGTCGGATGTGAAGTTATCAATACTCGAAGAGAAAGGAAGCTATACTACTGTTTATTCCGATATTATCAGATGAGATGACTTCAGATGCTAAAGTTGACACTCGATACACATACTTCCAATCGAAATATTCTATATAAAAACCATTACGAAAGTCCTAGAAATTTTGGCTTACGGGGGAAGAAAATGTCTTCTTGGGGTGGGGGTAAGCAGAAGAATGAAAAACCAGAGGCTCTTGATTTGCCTTTGGATTTTCGGTGCAGTTTTTCAAGGTAGATATCTCACGGTTCTCCAGCTTTAGAAAATGACTTTCCAGATATCTGTGTCTATGTTATGGTTTTTTGAAATATTACTTCCCGTCATTGCACTCCCGTTTCCCCTGAATATATCGAGTAGTCCACAAGTTCCATTCCCATTACATAGCACAATAAAAGTTCATTTCTTCAGAACCGATCTTTGAAGAGAATCAAAGCGCGAAAGGAAAGATCAGAAGAGATCCAAAAGAAAGAATTCAAGAAAAACAATGAAGCTAAGACTTGAACATAGAACCCGGATGTGAAGCTTTCCGACTTCCCTTTCAGTCCTCCCAATTTGCTACAATCATTACTCATCAGATAGCAAAACACCACCATGCTCGGAGTCGTACTGTAGGAAGACACAAAATCTATTACTCGTCTCCACCCAAACGCCCTCGCAACTTATTGCCTTACTATACTGAAAAAAAGATCGATCTCTTGAGGCGCGGAGAGCTGCTGAAGTGGTATAAAAGTGAGGTTATTCGCGTTCGACTTGGGCCGAGATTGGCATGCAGCAAAGCAAAAGAGCTGATACCAGTTGACAGGCACAGACGGCAAAGACGACATAGACTAAGTGAATTATTCGAAATGAAAGTCCAGTAGCACGAGCCCCACCTGCAAACACCGGCCGGCATCCCCAATTTTATCTGCGGCTGAATACTGTACGCCCAACCGGCTGCTTTGTAGATGACGCTCGATATATTCCGAAATCTGGAGAGAAAAGAGAAACACCGCAGCAAAAGGACGAGGTACGGCATAAAACTCAGCAGCATGAATTTGGGGACAAAAATGGCAAAAAAGATATTGTGCATGACCAGACTGGGGCACGATCCCAGGACCTTGTCCGTGTTAAGGACACGTGATAACCAACTACACCATCCGGCCTGTTTTGTGTGTTGGATGAGCGTTTTTTTGATAATATATACTCAAGTGTTGAGGGTTGGAAGTGGGAAAAGAGTAGGGCTGGTGGATTTGGTGGGGCTGAAAAAAAGCGTGGCTGGTGGGGCCGTGGCTGGTGGGTCATCTCGGGTCAACCCCTTCATATCTCTCGGAAGTCTAGTTTTTTTTTTTCATCGAAATTTTCAATCTAGACAATCCCAGAACCTAGATTCCATTCACCTTTCCTTTCTTTGTCTTAGCATTCTTTGTTAGTCTTAGCAATATAGATAGACCTAATGAGACCCCATCATACAACAACAACAAGATTTCCCTGCTGGCGCAATGGTAGCGCGCAAGACTTCTATAATCGATCTCGAAATCATTCGAATCCTCTATGGCACATCTTGAGGCTGCAGGTTCGAGCCCTGCGTGGGGAGTTACCCTGAGTACCATCGGTTTGAATCCGATGTCAAAAATCTATTTTTTGCATTTTTGAGAGTGCCTCTGGCAGTGGGGGGGATGGTTTAGCTTGCTCTATCAAAAATTCCTTCAACGCGCGTGTCAATTTTTATTCAACTCGAGCTAGAGCTATGTAGCATCCTTCCTCCATATCTGGGTGCCGTGCAGAATAGTATTATTTATTGACATTTTTTTTATCTCATTTTTGAGAAAACCCCAATTCTTCAATTATAAAAATCCCCCCTTCCCCAAAAATCGGAAAAGAGTGTTGATGCTTGTCGGTACAATCACGTGATCGTGCACTGGAGCCGTACGGGCTGTAGCGTACGGAGGAGCTAGCGCAGGCTCATATAGGGTCTATATAAGGGTTCACTCTAGCATAGCATAGCATAATAATCAGAACATCATCAACATACACAGTATAGCGTAAAGTACTTTACACTTAGAACCCACCAGGTTGATACCAACAATGAGAGTGGGATTCGAACCAAGATTAGAAATACTCCCAATCTCATTAGGTGAAAGCCCTATTTGGTGAAAGAACCTTGGAAAAGAAGTTGTATAAAATCAAAAGTAAGTAACTAGGGACTTACATAATAACCTGATCTCCGTGCGAATGATATTGATGCAGAGCTTGCTTTGGTTTCCGTATAAACGAAGATAGATATACTTTTGCTTGGTTTTCGTATGATTGAAAGCTTCTACTTGTCGGATTCTGATTGTTAATAGAATATTCGTTGATACCTCAGATTGAACGATTCAGTTGATAATTGCTCAAGGAAATGAGTGAAAGATATCATACAAGAGAAAAAATACATTGCAGAATTGAACTTGATTGTCTATATGAACTTATAAAGGTTGTGTGGAGTAGGGTAGAGTAAGAGTCTTGTAGTAAATAGGAAGGTACTGAACTGATCCACCCGCCCCTTCAATCTTGTGGTGAATAAAAAAAAGTACTGGACTAGTCTATCAGTTCTTTTTAGCTGCTAATAAATAAAAAATGTAAAAAAATACATAGTAAATAGAGAAAGTGCAAAAACAAATTGTTTTATCACAACGAAAATAGGGAAATGTAAGATCTAGTAATATACCAGTGGAATATGGGACCTACCCAGTAGATAATACATACCTAGGTACATATACCTATATTATACTATGTGCATCATGATTTCTAACTCATCTTACCATTAGATTTCTTGTTCTGGCCCCACGAGCGCGCCTGGAAACTGAGTTCTTTTTGTATTTTTATTCTTCTAATTTGCATTGCTGTTGATATCTTGATATTTCTATTATGAGTAAGATGAGATTGGAGCAGAAGTATCCATAGTGAGTTAGGCGGGTGGTGTAGAGAGAGAAAGTGAAGTATGGTCGGACTGAAGTGAAATTTCCCCTTTGCGCGACATCCAAGATCGTGTATTTTTGGACTGGGAAGCAAGAACGAGCGCATATCCATTCTTAGATCTGGTGGGCATGTGTGTACCGCGTGTTTTTCCTGAAGAGAATGAACAGCAAGGCTCCTGGCTTCGCGACGATTATATTCCGAGACCTTCTTACCTGACTTTGACTTATCATCTTTACGGCCCGGAAGTGATATATATGTCCGCCCACCAACTTCAAGGATACAAGTTATAGAGCAAGTCTAATCGGACTCTCCCTAACATGATCAATCTCCGCGTCCGACCTTAGACTGACCCAGTCTCCGTCTACCACCACTACCTTCCCTCTTCTCACTTCCAGGTTTACTGACCCGGTCATCTCTATTTCCACCGGATCTCCAACGCAATTCATATACACTCCTCCATTATCCGGGCTCTCGCCATTTTCCTCCCCCTTTCCACTCAACAGCACACCACATCCCCAAGCCCCTGTTGCAACACAAGCCACTCCAAAAGCAGTCCATATCAATACCAGCAGCCCTGTTCCGCGATATCCCACAATGCCGACATCTTTACCGTAATAATTAATTGTTGTGACCGCTTGGTATTGAAATGTCGTCGTTATGCTGTTTCCGATTAGGAGGAAGACTGTCATCAGCTGTTGTATTGATCAGTTTTCGATTCCTGTGTACAAGAATGTAGTGTAATGTGAATTCTGGGCACATATTGGTGGCTCGAGCGACAAGAAAGGAGAAAAAACATACGATAGAGACAACTCCAAAAATCCAATTAGATTTACCACTCCAGAATGACCAAAGCGCCAGAAAGAGAGTGATAGCTCCGAAGCAGAGTGCAGTGACGTAGATAGCGAATGCGGTATGTAATTCTGCATGATATGATTCGGCGAATTTGTTCTGGATCTCCCCAAGTTGGTGCGCAAAATTGTTACTGGGAAGTTCTATGGGTTGCGATGGGCTGATTTTGCTGAGTTGTAGATGGATAATATTGGCGGGATGGAAGCCGACTTGATGATGTTAATGAAAGTATTAAGAATCTAATATTTAAGTGACTGAAACATACCATCAGATGAAGGTGTCGAGCAGGTCACATTCTCTAACCTGGGACTGATGTTACGCGTGACTACATAATTTCCTTCGCAATGAATTTGGAAATATAAATTTAACACATCGGTAATGGGAAATATGTAATCGTTGCTTTGCAAGATATCGCCTTTCAACTGCGTGGTATCAAGAGAGATGATAGGGAAATCGAGTGAGATGTTTGACCGTATGCCTGTATCGATGAACGTTCCTGTTAGTGAAATAACTAGGAGTGTTAGGGCTGCCGGTAAAACGATATATTTTTGAGGCATAGTGTTATTTGAAAAGAACGAAGCTCTCTTTGATAATATACAACTAAAGTTCTAGATCGAGGAACTTCAGGGTCTTTTATGTACGGTAACCATTGAAAAAGTAAAGAACACAAGAAGATACGAGAGGCGATATGCCATTTTAATGATTCACTCAGGCTTTGAATTGCGCAAGTATTGAATGTGAATGGTATATTAAAATAGCGAAGACTGATAACAAGCCACCATTAACCGTGGTTGATATCAAGCAGGACCTCGGGAATCAATAACTGGTGGAGGAAAAAATTGATCAGGGGCTTAGTGTGTCTCAAGATGGTATCGGGGGTAACTTCCTAGAAATTAAAGCTCGCTGCTTGTAACAGAAGAATTTGACGCTACGTATCTCACTTCCGATTTTTTCAAAGTAATGCCAAAAATATCTTTACGGGGTGATTCACTCCGCTCGCAGACAACATAACTGCTTCACTCGAAGAATCTCGAATCCCACAACGGCCTTGCAATACGAAGTTTGGTGCGATGTAATGGGCAGATATGAAGATTCGTATTTCCAAATTTTAGGTCTGGCATCTCTATCATCTTTTCGATGGGAAAAGATGAGTCTTTCTCCAGGTCGATCAAGAGATGCACCGAGAAGAAGGATATCTCAACGCAGGTCAAGGAGCAATGGACCGAGGCCCAAAGCAACACAATCAACCAAACTTCATGGTTGAAGCAACGGTATCGAGAATTTGATATACTTCATAGTGACAGCCAAAGTCCTGATCATAGGGTAGGACTAGCCCCCCCGCCGCAGCCTCACCCACCAAAAGCCACCCAGAGGTGTCACAGGCGATTTATATTAGCAACTGTGGTTGATTAGAAACCAGAAACAAAAATGTATAGTGGTAGAAATGCTTAGGGTTACCTATGAATTGAGAAGTTGATAGCCTTAATATCTAGGCAGTTTTAGGTATCGATTAGAATGACTAATAATTTGGATTGGTTTGGATCCACTTGCTTGAAATCGTTGTGATATTGTTGACCACTGTTTCTAACCTATAAACCCCCGAGTCCATACTCCCTTTGGGTCTTGGATGGGCATCAAAGGGTCGGGCGATGGGAAAGCTCAAGGGAGAGGCTTGAAAGTTGAAGGCCTACGATTGTTATTATATATTATGAATGCGAACCCGAACCAAGCAATGGTAAACATCCCTTGATAGCCAATGGCCTTGGAACAAATATGCATACGCATGTAAGCCATACCTTCGTATCTGACAAATTAACGGAATTGATGTGCCGGCCTCCACTCTCGATACCTACGCTTTGTCACCTTATGAATCTTGGCATATATATAGCTCGAACCTCGAGGCCCCCCCCCAATTTCCCCCAAAATGTACAAGTTAACCAAGCCTTCTTTCCTTTAAACATCACTAGAAATTTGCTACTGTCAATCATGGTTCTCAAAGTTGAGCTTTGTAACGATGATGATATGCCTCGGGTATTCGAGATTTTTTGCGAGGCATTCGATATCAAACACCCCATGATTGAGGCAATGTATCCGAACCACGATACTCCGGCTGGTCGAGTCATTGGAGCAAAACGCATGCTGGAAATCAAAAAGAAAGACTCCCACACTACATTTCTCAAAGTAGTAGACACCGATACAGGTGTTATGATTGCCAAAGCTAAATGGAACATTTGGAAAGGTGTCATCCCGCCGGAAGTCGATCTAGATGGTGACTATTGGGAGAACGAGGAGGAGAAGGAATGGGCTCAGCATATGAATCGAGAGTTTTTGATATCCCGTCGACAGGCCCTTAGAGATTCAGAAGGGCATTTAGTTTGTAAGAGCATTTAGCCATTGGTTGTGTTTTGTTGACCGATGATTATAGCTTTGGACATCCTTGCTGTCGATCCTAATTATCAACGTCAAGGAGCAGGTCGCCTTTTGGTCAAATGGGGAACTGCAATCGCCGATGAACTTGGATACGTGGTATGTAATCTCTGATAATGAGTAAATGTGTGGATGTTCAATTGGTTTCATTTCATACTTTCCATTTGCAGGCGGGTCTAACGTAAGTATAATCTAGGCGGTAGTTGAAGCATCTGAAGCTGGTCGAAAACTGTATGAGTCCGAGGGGTTTGAATATGTTGAACACCGTGAAGTAAGCATACCACAAAAATGGCGCGATCGGAAAGGGGAAAGGTTCGTATGGATGGTAAGGCCAGCGAAGAAGTTGACCTGAGTATAATG